TGGTGAAACTTCTGCACCGTACCTGGTCTCAACACTTCCAGAGGGATGCCGAGCACCGCCTATGGTGGCCACTGATCAAAGATTTGCTGCAGCAAGATCCGCCGAATTTGCCCGCTGTTTCCTTGTTTTACAATGCGAAGCACGAATCAACTCACACGCGTCATAGGCTGGCACAGCTGTACCTGGTACACTTCTGTCGAGAGAATCTGTGTCTGGATGCTCAAATCAAGGAAACCTTCAAGATACTCGATGGCACCAAGCTTTGCCGCATTGACTTTTCAGCAAGACTGATTGGACCTGTCGTAGCTAGTGCTGTCAGAGGTGAAGGTCCGGACACTGCGTTGAAGGTTCTGGAGATGATGTTGCGCAGGTGTAACATGGAGCCTAACCGTTACTTGTTGGCTGAAATTGCCAGAGGCTATGCACTGAACCGGAATTGGTCAAAGTTCGAGTCTTTCGTGGCCGACAAACGCTTGGTTGAGATGGACCTAGCACGATCCAAGCCTCTTACTTTTGCTGCACTTGTCAAAATTGGACTTCGAGAATTCGCTGAGCATCATTCAGCTGAACAGACTTACGACTTCCTTACCCATTATATGCAGAATCATGCTTTAATGCCGGACTATCGCCTTTCGAGCGTGGCATTGCAGGTCTTCGTGGAAGCTAGACGCTTTGACCTAGTGCAACGTTGGACACGTGAACGGCGCAAACGCTTTCCTTTGCTCGACGTCACAACTGCAAAAGTCAGTCCTGCGTATGACATAGCCACTGGCTGGTACCTCATTCGTGCTTCCTGCTCAGACATTTTGAATACATGTTTGGCTCTCGCTCATGGCGAAGTTCACGATCCATTTTCTCCTGAATTGCGCTTTGTGGCAGAAGAGCCGATCATATTCGATCTCCATAAACGTTATAGCCGTCTTTGGAATGCCATCGGACAAACCACTGATCTGGACTATACTCCACCGACGGACAACTGGAGAGACATGTGTACCTATGCCTCGGATCTGGCAAAATGCGTCCAGAGGTTGCCAGAGTCTGGACAAGTCAAATTTTTGGCCCAGGACCTCAAGAAGCAGGTCGCAGCTGTACGAGAACTGGAATCATTGTTCGCTGGCCAGTATACGGCCGCGGTCTATGAAGTCACGCTAACCGAAAGGTCAAAGTCGCGAGCGGCATGTTCAAATTCGCCGCAACAGTGGGACGCCCTTCCATCGGACTTGCCTGTGAGTTTACAGTATGCTTACCTACCTCGGCGCTTCCAAGAATTGGTTGAGGACATCAATGAAGTCTTTGAAGGTCTGAAAGCCAGAGGCTTGAAGCCAAATCACGGCATTCTCATGTACGTAGCAGGCAGGTTGACCGACGAAGATCGCCCAAGAGACGCCTACCTGCTACTAAGACACTTCCACGACTCCATTTGGATGATAGAACAACCTTGGGATATAGAGTTGTACACCAGATGGCTTGAAGTGGCTTCGCTTTGGCGTCATCCACCCGCTGTGCGTAATGTCCTATGGGCTGTTGTCGATGCCCCGGATGCTGTTAGGCTTACCGGCAGATTCCTTCTGTTAGTGCGAATTGCGCAGATGCGAACTCATCCTGGGCCTGAGACTGAGGAGAACAAGTGCTCCATGAACGAGATGGAATACTTGTCCACAAGGCTACGGAAAAGAAGATGGCAACAGAGTGGCTGCCCATCAGATCGTGATTATGAACAGAGTCGGTTCCCTGCTTGGAGCTTGGTGCCTAGTTTTTTCCCTTCTAGTATCACGGAGGATGTCTGGAAGATGACTTGAATCGGCACCTGTAGAGCCAGTGTTTGTTGGATCAAGCCTTGTGAAACGCTGTACTGGGCGGAAGGCACTCGTTCATGTGTTAATAGAAACACAGACAGTTTGTCTGGCTGAGAGTTTAATCAGAACCACCGAACCACCCTAACATAGTATTTTATTCATTTTAGAACTACTTGACTTCTAAAATCCAGCTCACTGAAATTCGGCCTTTACAGTCTTTATATTCCCCATCTCAAGCTTCCCATTGTTCCTTAACAACTAATTCGTTGCTGACTTACTGCCAGGAGTTCATGTCAGCGAAGATGCTTGCCAGCCACGTCGGCACGATCTCCCATACTACAGGTCCCCAGCGGGACGAAGATAAGGTCTGCTAGTCATGCAGCAGGTGTTTAAAAGGCGGAAGAGAAAGGGGGCAGCCCCGGGTCCGGCTGTGCTGGTCATGCCGTAGGAGGTGACGTTGCAGCTCTTCTTCCGCATTCTGGTGGTGAAGAAGGGCTTCGCTTGGATCAGCGGGTCCGGAGAGCTGAGCAGTGATCAGTGATTGGGAGGAAAGGGGTAAGTGAGGAGATGTGGGGCGAGGGAAGGGTGGGCTGGGAAGTGCATGGCGGCTTTGGTGGTGGTGCTGAACACTCCCGGTTGGTGTTGGGAGCGATCAGTTCTTGGCAGCGGAACGAATGAGTAGGTGGACAGTCCACGCTGGAGTCTGTGCATGGAAGAATGATCGTGAGGGAAAGGAGTGAATGGGCGTCTAGGTACGCGTCGAGTGCATACGAGCAAGGAGTGTATCTTGAGACTGGCAACTAGTATATGATTTTCTATCTGGCAGAAACTATTTTGCTTAGAATTTTCAGGCTCAAGCATTGTATAGAAACTTTCACAGGCGAAATCCTGTGGTCTTTTCAGTAGTACCTATGTCTTGGTACATTCCATGTCGCTATTTAGCTTCAGGTGCGGATTCGAAAGGCGACTGAGTTAATAGGACAGGGAAAGGCATGGGCATGGTGTTAGAAGTGAAATCGTGAATTGTTGCGTCTGTAGGAGGCTCAAAACTGCCGGATTGCGACTGGACTTGGTGATGGACTGTGGAAGCAAATACTGATGATCCCGTCATTCCTCTTCATTAGGATCAGGGCGTTCTTCGAAGCGTAGAAAATCATACTCGGCACTACGCTCCCCAAGAATTTCCTGCCACATAGCCTTTACGCTGTCTAGAACCGAATCGTCCAAGGCCACATCATGTGGTCTTTTCGGGAGTTGGAAAATCCGCTTGTAGTCATCGTGGAACAAAAGAGCAGAACTCTGAGGAGCTGTCAATGGCTCGTTTGATTGGTAGTGAATTGACCATAAAACCACTGGATTGTCCTCGTTCTCTGAAGCAGCTGTGAGGATGTGGTCAACTGAAGACTTCAGAGTGTGCTGGGCAGATGGATTGCTTTGCACAGTGGATGCGTAAATGATACCTATTGGGGTCAAATCAGTATTCTTGTCTGAAAGCGGTGCAGAAGAAAGATTGGTTGCATGTTTCCAGATCAGGTTGTCAGAGGAAGATTATCAACACAGTGCATGCACTCAGGCAATGTAGATAAGTATTCAAAATGGTTGTTCATCACAGAAGGTGAAAGTGAAAGGAGCGAGGACTTACATTGACCTGTTGGGCATTCTCCCGTATCTTCGGAATGAATTTGCAGATATACTGGTGCTTGACCTTGTCCACGATCCACGAGGACGATTGATACTGCTGGCACTGGCCCTGTGTCTGACGCCGAGGTAAAGAAAGATCCTAGCCGACTCGAAATGATACTGATGCTGTGACTTACTGGATGAGGTGGTGCAGTGTCTTGGGATGTGTTCAAGCTTGCTAGGCTGTCTGATGGTAGGTCATCCTCCATGCCCACGATACGTCTTGTGGAAATTTGGGTACCATCAGAAAGTTTGACTTGCACAAGGTTCTCTTCTGCAGACTCGGCTCGAATCGATTCGATTCCATGACCAAGTAGGTAGACAAAGCCTCCAACAGCTCCAGCTCGGCAAGCTACTTGAGCAATCTCAGACGTGCCTCCGTACTTGGCAATGACAGCAGCAAGCCCTGGACCAAAATAACCTGTCGACAGAAGATGCCGCTTCAGCCGAGCCATGGCAACGCCAGAGTCCACATTCACCGTGGTGTCCGTCGTCAGTGTGAGTGCCTGAATGGCCGCTTCTAGATTCTCGGGAATTCTAAGTTGTCCTTGCAGCTTTATCTTCAATGACTCTTGCCTAGTCCCTGCGGTTTCATCATCATTGTTTTCCAACACATGTCGAAGCAACCCCATAAGTCGTCTTTTATCCCTAACTGAAAGCGAATCATCGGCAAAGACATCTTCTCTATTGCTCGGTATCTTCTTCAGCTCTCCATCCGAGAAGACCCAAAAGGCGCCTACGGCTTGAAACTCGAGCTGAGTATGTATCTGCGACGAGACGAGGGAAGGGAGGAATCGTGACTTTGCATAAATGATTTGGGGTTTGAGGCTGATCGTGTAGGCTCGTGCAAGGCCAAGGCCACTTTGTTCTGCTTTGAAAATACCATACTCGACAGACTCACTAGAGCTTGCTGTGACAGTCAGCCATGTTAATGCCGGGAAAACTTTTCCTGTACCTTTACGAGCTTCGACCCATGCCTCTGCCTCCTTGAGACTAAGGCCCGCGTCTACTCCTCCATAATAGCTGTTTCTATCCACGTGAATTACCTTGAGGTCAGTCCTGGAAAGTGCCCTGTCTCAGATGACACAAGGTCAGTCTCGAGAGCTGCATGCGATATGTTAGACGAACAATGCGAGAAGAGATTGAGGCAGGCTTGTGCCAGAGATGACAGCATCCCACACTCCTTCAGTCAAGGACTCCATTTCGCAACGAGGCAAGTGGTGGTTGCCGGCAAGTGTCACATCACATAGCTTCCATACGTAGTGGAACTGACTAACAATGTGCTTTCCAGCTAGGGTGTCGAGAATTGATGTGCGCTTAATGGAAAGAAAAAGGTAGTGAAGAGTCGTGATTTTCAATTTTGCAGCTTGTGCCGTGACAAGGCTGGAGCTAGAACCAGTCAAGAAAATTTTTAGCGTTTTCGCACCATACCCGGACCGGAAAACTTTCTTCGCGACCCGTCTCCTCGAATGTCTCTTCTATTGCCTTCAAGAGGAAACAAAGATTTAATATCAAAAAAAAGAGTGAGAGGAGTGGGATTCGAACCCACGAGGTTTCCCACTGCGGTTTCAGATTTAGATTCAATACCTACTGATAATGATACCTAAACACAGCGCCTTAACCACTCGGCCATCCTCCCTTTCATGTGTGTGCGACTTTTGCAGCAATTAAAGCTTTGGAATTGACTAGTTGGTATATGTGTCAATTTTTATCATAGCATGTTCGACTGCTTGCAGCTTAAAACTCCTCTAAAAGTCTTATGCTAGGAGCGAAAATCTACAATAGGTAAACCTGCAAGATCAGTGAAGTTAATTGTGGTAAATCTTGGCGCCTCTCCTAAGCCAATGAGATAGATCTGCTAGCAGTGTGGGGATTTAAGTCTTGTTGAAGCTTGGTGTCAAGAAGACTGGGACAGTTCGACAATCTGGGTTTACACACTTCTGATACTATGCCGTAGAGATCTCTTCAGGTTGAACTACTTGCGCAAGCAGATCTAGTGTGTTCTTTCCTACCAGGACTGCGACAACCTGGATTGAAGCGACCCCTATGATGAGGCTGTAGTTGAACACAACTGTCAATTGCACATTGAACATGAAGCAAGAAGGAATGCTTTACCAAGCATCGACACACAAATATGGGCAATCTTCTGCATCCCTTGCGTATCATTAGCTATGAATTTGTTGTCTAGATCATCGGCACCCGAAAGACTTCTGCGCACCCATGGCGCCCTAGTTCATCGCTGGAGTCTGGTAGCGGCGGGCGCGTACCACAGACCATGTGCCAGAGCAGCGTGACAACATTCTTTTTGCACCTGCTCGATTGGATCAAGCGGTGTGTCTGATGGTGGAGATTGCCAGAGTTATCGGTGAGAGAGGGTGTGTGTCCGGTCACCCAACATCGGATGTTCAAGACGAGTCAACAACTAACAGTCTGCTTGATGAAAAATCTCAACCCGCTCTTGTCAATCTAGAAGGATACCAACAAAAATGGCAATTTGTTTAGCGAGACACGTGCTTCGGTAAAATGCCCCCCAGGCATACAGTTCGCGCGAGTGGCACCGAGCGCAAGTTCAGTGTTGATCAGGCAAAACGCCTCGGCTTTCTCAAAGTAAATCTGCCTTCTTTTGGAAACAAAGTCTGAAACATGCAGAATGATAATTCTTGGTCGTGCAGATGCAGGTCGGATAGGATATGCATAGCACAGTGCATTGATACTATTTTCTATGGCTCAATTTAGCCGTCTTTGCGGGCGAATTCGGTGCGCATGAGCTTCAACTACAGTTTCGTTGTCCGCCTGACTTTGACTCCTGAAGCCACCAATTGCTTAGCCTGCAATAATCCATATGCGCACCACGCCCACACACCACTTCGATTTTGGGCTCATGTTCCTATTTTGGAAATGCTACCGTACTTCTCACGCTTATTCTTCGTCGTGTCTCATGTCAAGGCCTCATCCGGCTGACTTGTCGTATTGTCATAACCTCGTTTCTCGTAACAAATGCTAACCACGCTGTAGCGAGTATTGCGCCTCCACGCACTCCCAGCAGACGTTTCCACTCCGATTCTGCCAGAAAGGCTGACCGAATGTCAAGAGAGAACCTGTTTGATCATTCGCGAGATGGCAGACAAGAGGCACATGATCAGATCTGAACATTCTCGCATACCACTGCACGTGTGACCATACGCATTCTTCTCCGTTTCAGGAAGTCGTGGCAAACATGGGGGGCCGCTGTTGCACAACGTCAACCATCTGAACTCGTTCTTGAAATGGCGCGTAACGTTAAACTGCCATCGCAAAAGTCCATTCGTTGCAGTTGCCAATATGTGATTTCCAAATGTTGGATGTTGCTCGTAGATCCTCCGTAAAATATTGTATTACCGATATTGCCGTCGTTCAGATGAACTCTGGCACTGCGTGGAGACCGCTCAGCGTCGGCCTAAGTTCAAGAGTCTGCTCATGCGTTTGGTTTTGGTATTTGCCAAGTTGTTTGATGATGAGCTCAGGTTCTCTGAAGAGCTGTTGCTGCCTGAGCTTGCCTCGGATGATGTCCTGCTGCGAGAGGAATTAAAGTTGGCTACTCCTATGATGTCTTCCAGTCGCACGTCGTAGTCAGGCGACGTGACCTGGTAGGTGTCGTCCAACATTTCGGTGAATTTGGAAGGCATTGTGAATCTTGTCTAAAGAGTTTACGAAGTAGTTGTTCCGGAGAGCGAGCTTAGCGAGTGTAATATAGCGTTTACTTTGCTGGAGGACAGGATACTGGGTAGCGATTGTATACTGGTATTAGACGGAGGGCCAGTGAATGATTTTCTTGACCTTTCGCAGGAGGGGGAAGCAGTAGCAATTTAAATTACCCACCTTTAAGCAGAACCAAATCCGTGTTCGATTTGCACCAAGTGCACGCGACCCTATCAAAATTGATCAACACGGTGGCGTGGCTTTAGTGCTCAAGGGTCTAGCACCATCCTGGCTAGATTCCACTCTGTATTTCGAAAATGGACATTCCCCATGACTGGAGTGGCAAACCGAACTTGCGCCGTCACAGCCAGCATGAGGTCTAGGGCAGGTCGACACGACAGCTAGAACATGGCTGACAAGGGCCGGTCTTCCCTTTCAAGGGTTTTGCCTCTGGAGAGTGACGTGCCAAGATCCGTGGCTTGAAAGCCGTTCCTTATTATCAAACCTTGAGTTTGATGGTTTGCAGGCAGAACTAGCCAAAGTTCCAGTTTTCATGCACCGAAAATGTTTTCCGTTTCTTCGCTTCTACTCTGCAGCTTCTTTCTCGAGCTTCATAAGCACAAGGACACGTCGCTAGAAAGGTAGTTTGCCACAATATACCGCGGTATTGAAGGCCGGCCGTGTGCTCGGAGCTTAGAATAGACGAAAGCTTTCCTGTTGCAAAGTATCCGGTCTAAGACTGGCTCACAAGGACCCCTGGAAAGTCCTCGTCGCTGTCGAGGCGGCAAGCCGTGGCAACGTGTTCTTGCATCGTGTCAAAGTGTTCCGGCTTACCTGCTTTTGTTAGACCTTGTCAAAGCGCTGTTACAACGTGTGCAACTGCCTCGTCTTACACATTACGATGATGGATAAAAGAAACCCTACGGTACGAAGCATGACCCGTGTTCGTAAGCAGAGGACGTAGCCGCTCCCACACGTATACGAGGTTAGGCATAAATGACGTTATATCCAGCGCCGAGTCGCACCTGCACATGACTCGCGGCATATTCTGCGCTGTGATGCTATCTTACTTCGCATCTTCAACCCGCAAAAGCCCATGCCCGTGCACATAGCAGTCATTTGTCGAAGTATTGTGCTTACGCGAACTGAAGTGAGATGATGGAGAGAAAGAAAAGACGAGGAATGCTCTTGAATACGTTACAGAATTGCGCGTATTGTGCTGATCTTCTCTGTCATGCTTTCGCTAGGCATGGGTTCACATCAACTCGAAGAAGCTTTCTGCCCGTTAACTCGGTACACATTGCTTCTAGCCCTAGCTTCAACTCTTGCTCTGAAATGTGTAATGTTTTCGCACCCGACCTCGGCTTGGACATTTCGCTTTCATGTTACACCAACTGCTTCCATACCATATTCGAGGATATATCTGTGGTTGTGAAAACTACATCCGGAAGTTCCTGGCGCGGCGACGTTATAAAGGCTTCTGGCTTCCATCTGGCGTCTCACAAGTCAAGTATCCGTACACAATGTGTAGCCTTTTTGGATGCAATGAATGACACCGCTTTACGCGTACGCTTGTTGTGCTGTAGATCAATCGTGGTTGATGAGCAGCTGCCTTTAACCCTCCATCTTGGTATCACCCACCGTCCCATTCATCTCAACTCCCTTCGCAGCAGATATCCATAGGACGTTATTGCACCGTATCAAGACTTGGCCGAGAGTTCCAGTATGCTTTCGATCGATGTATTCTTCAGTGCCGTGAAGTTGAATGTTCATATAGGAGTCAATAGAGACAAGAACTCCTTTGTATTCGGTTTGGCCCCACTTCAGTCGCACAACCACCTCTTCATTGATCCTGCAAAATGTATATCAGTGAAGGCCTATGATGGTAGGATGTTGCGCTCAGTCAACTTGCGCCGAACGAAGCTTGAAAGGGGTTTTCAACGTACAGCGATTGTAGTAAAGGACGAGGATTAACCGGAGTGAACTGTGTTTCGGTAAGTAAACAATGCATCCAATATGTGATTACCGACTTACGTTCATCCTAGCACTGATGCGCAGCTTCGCACCAGAAGACACTTAACGAACTGGTTCAGATTGTTGTATGCGCTTTCATGAAGTAAGTATTGCTCAATGCTCAGTGCGATGATTCTGCGAAATTTGGCAGCCTCGTCGGACGTTAATCTTTACACCTTTCCTATTTTTATCTAGCGTCGACCGCATCCCTTGTGGCTTGGCTCTGCTCCTGTACCTACCTCCAGGACATATTGCATGTATCAGTCCCATAATTCTACTTCATGATGGTTCGTATGCTATGTATCTTGTGCTTGACTGTAAGGCTTGCAGAACTTGATGTCCTTGAGTTCATGCCCTCCGCATTTCCCACTTAATGTCCTTGATACTCACTTCATCGCCCGCTTTCTCATCGTAGTCGAACCACTCTCCTTCTGTCAAATCAATGCCGGTGAATTTAGTACCCGATTCTATACCGACAGCTTCCCAGTCTCCCTAAGAGAGTCAGTCCATTCTTCTTTCATATTACAAAGAGACCTTACATCTGGTTTAAAATCAGTGAATTCAAGACCTCTCGTGTCAATCTCGATAACGTTCTTTGACCTTGCAGGGGACGTTGCTTCGTAGGCAGATGGGGTCGCCCTGATTGTAGCGCTTGACTCTCGCTGCTTCAGTTAGCATTGCAGACGAATATCAGCCCGTACAAACAGACCTTGCAGTTCTTGCATCGCCAAACGAAATTTGCCTCGCCTCTGCTTCCAGACAAATCGTTCATTTCCTGCCATGTTGTAGGTTAACTATCTTGACTTTTCGTGTCTCATCCTTAATGAAGTCGAAGTCTAGAATGCACTTCATTGTCTGACGTCTCCAGCTGAATTGTCGCAAGACTTACATGACGACTCACACCAACCCAATTGGCATGAGTTTCGCGGCACGATGTGCATTGGACTT